CAATTCCATGCTGTTTCTAACAAAACTGATCTACCACTGGTTGTGCAAAAATAACAAAACACCCTCCTAAGTATAGCATCCCTAAGTGAAAATACACATTCACTAACACACACTACATAAGCTGGGCACTGTGGTGTATGCCTGTGATCCCAACAACTCAGGAGGCTGAGGCAGAGAGGTTCAAGACCATCGGGGGCTGCATAGGGAGGCCCTGTGTTTAAAAAAGAAAGCTTGTGTGTATTGAGGGTAAGAGATTATGAAAGCCTTCACAGAATTGAATTGGAGAGAAATCTAGGAGGGTAGTTTTTGCATTTGGACTGTCTTCTTTCTCATCAATATGCTCATTGGAAAAGCTACTGCAGGTGTCTGTGCCCTGATTGCCAGGAGTGAAGGCACCTGTAAGTGCTAGGCATCTCTCAGGGACGGTGCCATTACAGTGACTGCCTTTGTGGGTTTCAATCCTCTAGTGATTTTCATTAGCTTTGTCTGGACTGAAACCCCGAGTTATGGCTGCTCAATTAAGGATCTCCTCTTTCTCTTGCTACTGAATCTATGTAAAACTACTGCCCCCCCAAATGCACACACCCCACTGACTCAGAGGAATGACACATTAATTCAGTAACAACTGACTAATTGCTCATCTACTTTTGAGGGTTTCACTAGCAGACATAGAATAGTGGTCCAGTTGTAGAAGCAGATATTTAGAAAATATCAAACATTTATAAATAGTTGTAGGGGAAATCTATTTTTACTGCTTTTTCTGTCTTGTTATAAATGTACTCTGGTCTCAATCCTTTTACACACAATTCAACATCATTAACATTCTTTAACCCACTAAGGAACTTGAAGCAACCTGCATACACACATAAAAATAGTGTTTATTTAAAATAGTGAAATAATTTTCATTATGTAGTTAGTTTTGAATATGTAAAATTGTTTCTTAAAAAATATACTTAATATCACTATATGTAAAGGCTTTCTCCAGATATTAATTTTCCCTCATCTAAAAAATGACAACCTCAGCTTAACATGAGACACACAACTCCTAAAGGGGTCATCTTATTATCTGGAACAGCAAATAAACGCTGTTATTATTGAAAAATGAACATAGCAAATGGAACTACACACACACACACACACACACACACACACACTTCTCTTTTAAAATTAAGGTTTAAGAATTTAAATACTTCTATAAATTGCTGCCTTAAGATTGATACTTTTAGAAAACCAATCTATACCTATTGAATTAGAAAACCAAGCAAAACAAAATGTATTTTATTTGTAGACCTCACTAGTTTTTAATGTTTAAATAATATCTACAAATTTAAATGCTAACCTTATAAAATATTTTAAGAGTACATTATTATTTAAATATCGAGTAAAAAATGTTTTTTTATCATTTCTATTCCAAACCTGATACCTATTTCTTAGACATCAGGAAAATGTATGTTCTCTAGAACATAAAAAATTTACCTTTTTGAAAATGTGCAAATGCAACTTCAAAGCTAAGTCAATGTGACTTTACTGTTTGACATCATATATGACATTGTATTAATCTTTCCACATATATAATTAAATCCAGCCATTAATTTCTAATTCAACAAACTATTAAAATGGAAGCCTAAGAAGGCTACTGTGAGATTTAAAACTAATAAAGTCTTTTCTGTTTCTAGAAAATTAAAAATTAATGCAGAAAAAGCCTTTGTTACAGGGAGGGCTTGAGGTTGGGAAGGTTTTTTTGGGGGTTGGTATTTAATTCATCTATACACAATGTAGTACATACAAGCAAAATACAATTGGGATACTGTTTTCTTTAGCATTCCTATAGGAGACCAAATTCATCTGCATTGGAGAGAACACAATTACTGATTTTTAACTCATGAAAGCTAGATTCATCGCTTTCCCTACACCGCCTCAGAGTATTTGACTGTCCCAGCTGAAACCCATCTAACATCATTCAGCTACTTCCTAGAAGTGGGTAGATAATGCATTTTTTTTTCTAACATTCTATTTTCTCATAAACTCATTCAACTTTAGATACAAAAGCATATTCAAGTCAGCATGTCTTAGATCAAAACAATTTATTCACTATGTGTACATGTGTGTATATGAGACTTTTTAAGCATATTCTAGTCAGTGTGTCTTAGATCAAATCAATTTATCCACTTTGTGTACATGTGGGTATTGGAGATTTTTTAAGTGAACTTTGGGCAGCACCCAAATTAAATTCTATCAAGGAGGTTTCCATAACTTTTAACAGCAGTTTTAAAGTTACCCATTGTCTCCTCTTTACTAAATCTCTGATCCACAGATACTATATGAATATAGGGGGGAAAAAAAAAACCAAAAGGTTTTTAATTCAGCAGACTTTGACCAAGTAGAATGTGAGAGAAACAGATGACATGTATGTCTTATGTGCAATAATTTGCACATGAAAATGGATGAAACAGAAGTAGCAAAAAGGAAAAGAATCCTCTACTCCAGGGTGACTGAGAAAACAGCAGTGTCTAGTCTATGTAGCCACGTGTATAAATTGATGCTGTGTGATTTAACAAAAGACCCAATTGTAAGCAAATAGCATGCCAAGAACTCCACAAATGAAGATTAAAACACCTTACAAATTCTCATCAGCTTTAAAAAAAAAAAAAAAAAAGCCTATTTGGAATACAGGTATTAAAACAGTTTCCTGAGAAATCAAAGAACCAAGCACAATATTTAAAAAATTAGCACTCATTTGTTGAATCATTTTTCAAGGAGGTAAACAAAAGAGAATGGCTTGTTTTCCCTGGGCTCTACAGAACTCAAAAATCACATATAGAAATGACCTAATGTTCCTAAATTTTCTTCCAACTTGCTAATTTGTATGGAAATGCAACAAAAGAACAATTAAAAAAAATCACTGTATAACATGAAAGCTTTGGTCTTAAATGTCACAGTACTTTGGTTTTTTAAAAGACCCAGAATTATGGAGAATACATCACAGAGGGCTGAGTTCAGCTAACCAAGTCCGACCAGTTTAGCCTTCTCTCCCTTAGCTTGTAGTACAAGTAGGGAACTTTTGTATTTGAAATTCATAAAGAAAAAAAAAGATCAAAACCACTCTGTCAAAAAAAAAAAAAAAAAAAAATGGTGTCAGTCTCTCAGGCAGCAGCTACCCATGCATTTGGTTTGTTAACTGTCTTCAGGTATAGTCAACCACACAGCATGCTCTTAACATTTTTCTCCTGGTTATTTTCTATCACCAACATGTTCAAAGAAATCCATTATTCCTAGGACTATGTAAGTGACTCTTCAGCCAAAATGCAAACAACCTCTGCATTTAAAAAAAAGAAAGCCAAAGTAGTATTTTTGTTGGTAAGTTTTAGGTGATCTTAATGACTTTAAATAAACTAGTATTTTACATATTTTAAAATTAAATTATATACACTGTATCATGAACTAATGCAACATCAAAATATCCAACTAAAAAATCTACTGTCTTTTGCTAATTTTGATCTCCAAAAGGATTGATAACAGCTAGACAGGCAACAGAATGAGATATTTATAGATGCACAGTGCATTAAACAGTTCTTTCTAACAGTATTTATCAAAACTTCCAACTGTTGAGAGACAAATGGTTTAAACTTACAGTAAGTACTTAGCATCCCAAAAAATATCTCCTTACCCATCCTCCCCAAAATAATAATATTGAAGGAAACCACATTAACTTAAAACAACTTACAGAAAGCCACCTACACAGTTTCAAACTGAGAATCTATTTACTGTTAACAGCCCAAACTGCAAATCATTAAATCTTAACTTTTTCAAAAACAATAGTAGTAATCAGTTTTCTAATGTAGCTCACAATCATTTCTAAACAGAAATTCTGTGAAACTAAAATGTGGAAATATGTACACAATGTTTTTTAAACCCTCCAACATACCCAAGTATTTATAAAATCAATTTGTTTTAAAATGTTCTCAATTGTGACAGAGCTTGAGCATCTACCTCTGCCTAAGAAGGTGGAAAATCAAGACAGGCTCCCCAACCCCAGTTCTAATGATTAATGATGAATGGCAAAGAATCGTTCATTAATGGGTATTAACTAAGTTAACGGGGGGGGGGCGCTTTACTCCCCCCCACCCAATTTAAAGTCCACAGTGAGCTTTAAACAAAAATATTCTCCTTCATTCTTTCATAGCAAATCACTGGATAAACCCAACCCCCACAAAGCGTGTTACTTCTGCATTAACAATAGCTAACAATCGACTTCACCGCGAAGTTGTTTATTCTCCATCGTTTCTCTAAAGCAACAATTACAACAAAGTGCTCAGGAGCATACAGCTCTGCTGCCTCAGTTACTGAAGTCTGCCTTCTCCCGGCATCCCAAGCAAACAACCAACTTCTTCAGAAACTATGCAAAATACTGACCCCCTCTAAAGCAACAATTACAACAAAGTGCTCAGGAGCATACAGCTCTGCTGCCTCAGTTACTGAAGTCTGCCTTCTCCCGGCATCCCAAGCAAACAACCAACTTCTTCAGAAACTATGCAAAATACTGACCCCCTATTTACTGATTTTATTATTCGTCACTAAACTATGCAAAAAAAAAGTAATTAATCGAATGGTCTAGTTAAGCAATTCAGCTGACACAGTAAACATTTACTCTTAACATCTCACAGGAAGTTTGCTATTGTGCTGGGGACAGTGATGGCAGAGAGGAGTTCTCAGGCTATTTATGATAAACAACTTAATCGGTAACAGCCAACTGAATCTACCTAGTGTTCTCCATCCCGACCCCTAATTAGGCACCAGTTTGCAGGCACAGAAAACACCTTATATAATGAAAGTAAAAATAACAATAATAACTTTCTAAGCTATGTATCTCCACTAACACAACAAACAAAGGCCCTTTTAAAAAAAATAGAGACTTTTTTTAAAGTTGACCACTTTTTTTTTTTTAAGTTGGACGTCCAATCGTAGGGAGGGAAAAAAGAAACTAGGCAAAATATATTTACCTTAGCTTTTTAGAGACCGAGTAATCCACTTCCATGATTTTCCCATGCAATTCCACTTTACCTTTAAAACAGAAATTTAAAGTACTCAGAACCTCAAGTCGAACCCGTGAGGGTCTAGGAGGGGCAAGCACACTACACCGCGCTCGGGCTCCGCCTTCTGGAGCCTTCAAGGGGTCCTCCACCCGGCCGCAGCTGGGCGAACTTAGCGCCAACTGTGATGAAAAGTGGGCGCCACGGGTGGCGGACGAGGTGGGAAGAGCACTAGCCCGGTTCCGACCCAGGTATAGCTGTGGGTGGCATTACCGGAAAAACACATTTAATAAAGAGCGGCGCCAATTTGAAAAGATGAGCTCATTTGAAACTCAAGCTGCAGGGCTGGCGCGCCCCGGCTTCTCGGGCCCCCAGCTCCCCATTCCGCCACTCGGGGACCCCGAGGTTCCAGGGCGCTCGACCCCCACCTCCACCCCACCGCCCTCCCTGCCAGCGGCCCCGAGGACACGCGCAGGAGTCCCCGGCTCTGCGGCCGCCTGCTTTGGGGTGACCCCCAGGTCTCTCCAGCCCACCCCGCCGCACAAGTTCCCAAGAAAGGGGTTCCCAGCAGGGTCGGGGGTCGCAGGCCCTGGGAGCGTGGTCCGCCGCGTGCGTGTACTGATGCGAGCTGGGAACGCGCGCGCAGGCGAGTGTCGCGCTCCGACTCCCGTCTGGGCTCCAGCGCGCTCGCGGACCCCCCGGTCGCCTCTTTCCCGGTTCTCAGCCCGGGCCCCCACCGAGTTGAGACAGGGTACCTCGTAAAAAGGTGCTTCTGGCCAAGCAGGAGGCGGGGAGACGGGAGGCGGAAAGCCCCCAGCCCCGAGTTCTTCTCAATAAAATCGGACAAAAAATTCAGGGAAAAATAGGAGCGCTTCCGAGACCAGCGAAAGGGAAGTGAGCTTCGGGAAAAGACCGAGGGAGATGTGCGGTCCGGCAGGGGCCGGGTGGGGGGAACCCCGGGACCTCCAAGGGTTCAGTAGGTAAAGTCGAGGAGCTGCCGAAAGTGGGGGGCCAGAGGACAAGGGGGGTCTCGAAAAGGGGAGTGCGGCTAGGGAAACGGCAGAGGACTAGAGGTCTTTGGCACGAGGCATGGGAAGCAGGAAGGTCTGGCCAGGAGGAGAGGAGATGCTGGATTTGGGGGGCCCCTGGCAAAGAGGGCACCAGAAGGGTCAGAGAAAAGGAAAAGGGGGGACTCTGCAAAGGTGGGGGCGGGGGAAGCTCCGCGGAGCAGCTGGGCACGCCGGGGCGCTCCAAGCGAGCCAGCGAGCCTAGGGACCCTCGGAGGAGCACAGGGTCGCTCCGAGGCTGAGGCCGGAGGGTCTAGGTTAGCTCCCGCGGTGGGGGTAGGGCAGCGGCCGTCCCGGAGCCCGCCCGCAGCCAGAGTCGCGGGGCTGGTGCGTGGAAGTGAGCGTGCGGGCGCGGGAGTCGCGGCGGGCGCGGCCCGTGGGGCTCGGCCTCCCCGCTGCCACCGTCCCGAGCCAGCGAGGCGCGGCGTGGGTCGCGCGGGTGCTCACCCGAGAGGGTCTCGATGGCGCGGATGGCCCAGTTCTGGTCGGGGTAGTCCACGAAGGCGTAGCCGGACTTGAGCAGGACCTGTCCCGCCAGGGGCAGCTTCCTGTCCCCGAAGAGTTGCCGGAGGTCGTCGGCGGTGACGGCGGGGCTCAGGTTCCCGATGTACAGCTTGTTCATCATCCGCGTCTTCCCGAGAGCCCGCGGCTCCCCCGGCCCGGCACCAGGCGCTCCCGCCGCCTCTGCAGCCCTCCTCTCGCCTCCTGAGCCCGCCCCCGCCCCCACCCTCGCCCTCAGCCTGGCTCCCCCCACCGCGGCCGGCCCGGCCCGCCCGGGGGCAGAGGCGGAGGCGGGGACTCGGCGCTGCTGCCTCCTCGGGGCAGAGTCCCGGGCGGGCGCGGGGACAAAGCGCTCGCTCTGTCTCCCGATACCGGGGTGGCGACGGGCGACGCACCCCGCGCGCCTGAGAGTTGGATCGGCGTTTGCACCGCCGAGAGTGCGCGCCCTGCCCGCGCCGCGCCGCGCGCTCCGATGGCTCGGCGCTTCCCAGGCTGTGCGCCGGACGGGCGGAAGCGGCTGTGGCCCGAGCGGGACCGGGAGCGGCTTTGCGTGGCGGCGCGCGGGAAAGGACGAGGGCGGGGTGTGTGCAAGGTGGACCCGGTGTGGGCGCGCGGCGGTGAGGTGCACAGCGAGGTGAGAGGCGCACGCAAGCAACGGCTGACAACTTCCCCCCTCCCCCGCGCGTCCAGAGCCATGCATGGATCCGGATGTTCTCTGCGAGCTAGGCTCTTGGAGAAGGGGGTGCTTGTGGTCAAATGACGGTGAAACACGCCGGCTCTAGGAAAGTTGCCGTGGCGGTGGGCCTCAGTTTCCCCCACCCAAGCGGAGAAAGGAGAGAGGGACCTGAGTCCAGCGGTGGCCAGGTGGCTGAGCGGCCGGTTCGGTTCCAGAGCCTGGAAGGGACTAGAGAGGAAAGATGTCCTCCCGCGCAGAGGACGGAAGAGGTAGGGTCCTAGACCCCCTCCTGGAAAGGAGCCTTTACCCGTGAGGATGTAGGGCTACAGAAGAGGAGAAATGGAGGGATTCTGCGGTGAGATGACTCTGGGTGTAACATGGGAAGTGTCTATTGGAATTTAGAGGGCTTACATGGGAGGAGGTATGTCTAGGTGCAGAAGTGACCGAGGACCATAGGATAGAAGGCCTGCCTACTCTGACCTCAGAGCCAGCAGTGTGCCCCAAAATGTGGCAACACCCCTGAACCTAGTGAGGGTGACATAAAGGCTAGCTAAGTAATGTAAGACACTGAAGGTTTGCTTCCATTTCTTTACCCAGGGGACCTAGGAGTTTAAAACTTTGGGTGGAGGTGGGGACTGTCCTTAATTACTTGTCTTGAGAAGGAAATGATGAAATCTTTTTCATGTAGATATTTACTGACATTTCAATTTTAGCTTTCATCAAATATTCACACATTCCCTCCTCACTGGATTTTACTACTGCTGGAATTGGGAGTCACTTTGCTGCTGTTCTTAGACTGACAGATAAACCAGGGATAGAGGCTTCCTGCCTAATATGTGGAAGAAAATCACAAATGGAAACAACTTGTGTGTGCATTAATCACTAGGGACTGGAAGCCAGCCACCTTCAGATTATTCACACAAATGCTCCCAATTAGGGTGGTCATGTCTGTATAAAAGGGTATGTTTGCCTATTTGCAGTAAGTCATAGTTGCAGGCTACAAAAGGCAAAGAAGGAACTGTCTTGGATTTGGGGTCCTCTTCTTCTTTGAAAGGTTAGTATGCCTCTTATGTTGCATCACATTTTTTAATATGTCAGGTGTTTGTTGCAAAACCATGGCTGCTGTGCTGGGCAGTGTACAATCTACCAATTCTTACATTCTGGGAGCTAGTTGCTTTTTGCTGTCTTTGTTCTGCCCTGCAGGCATCTTGTAAACAGTGCTACCGAAAGAAAACACAAGATTTGTGAGTATGAAGGACACTTTTCTCCATACCTCATGTATTCTTGAATATTCTTGGCACTGTGACAAAATAGCTAATTAAAAAAAAAAAAAAAGTTGAAGGGGAAGAAGCTTTGTTTTGGCTCACAGTTTGAGGATACAGTCTGTGGTGGCCACAGCAGCACAAAGCACATTGCAGCCACAGTCAGGACAGAGCTGAAAGCTGGTGTTCAGTGTGCTTCCTTCTTTTTATTTCATCTGGGACCCGTGCTCATGAAATGGTGCCACCTACATTTACTGTGGGTCTTCCTGCCTAAACCCAGGCCCTCACAAGCATGCCCATAGTGATGCAAAATCTCATCAAATTGAGATTAAGCAGCATAACATTCCACCGCACCCCAAAGTTTAATTTGATCTTATAATAAAAATGTATTCAGTACAATTCTAAAAGCCCCTGTAGTCTTCCCCTCCTATTGTCCCTTCCTTCTCCTGTTGTCCCAGTACAGAGGTCCAAGTTTCTTTTGATGGCACTAGTTCCTTTAATAGTTACAGCTACTTTTGAACCTACCTTATCTGAAATTTTAACTTGTTTGCATTCTTTTCCTCATTGAACTTTACATTTTTCCTCTTTTTGCTTTTTCTAACTGTATTATTCTTGATTAAGAGCAGCAAACTGCAGCCATACCACATTTTGAGCGCTGCCTTGAAATTCCCTCCACCAAACACATTAGTCCATTACTTTTGAATTCAACTTCACTCAAGTTTTCAGGACACAGTCAGGAGGCAGCCTTAGTCTTTGTAAGAATAGAACCCAAATGCCCCCCTCAGCCCAGTTCCTGATAGAGTTCTTGTTCTCTGAAACCCCATGAGTTAGGCCTCTACTTTCCACACTTAGCATTGTAGCTTTCCAAGTTCCCACCAGAATAGTCTGTTGACATTCTAGGGCTTTTTTTAGCCCAAAGTTCTGAGATTACATTCCTCCTATAAGCCAATTCCAAAACCTTACAAACCAGTAGTCAGGATTATCATAGCAGTGGCCCCACTACCAAGTACCAGTACTCACCTTTCTTCTTGTTGTGAGGAGACATTAACAAAAGCAGCTGATTTGGTTTTGCTTACATTTTGAGCCAACAGTTCATCCAGGTCTAGAAGGCACTATATAGCTCAGGTGTGAAGGAGCTGGCCACATTGTATCTACCATCAGTAACTAGAGAGAAATAAATACTAAAATGTGGCTCACTTTCTTTCTTCAGCCTGGAACTCCAGCCCGTGGAGAATGTGACACTCAAATTTAGGATGGTTCTTCCCAGGAAACCCAGTCCCTCACAGACATGCCCGAATAGTTGCTTTTTTTTGGGGGGGGGGGTGGGGGGGTGGGGGGGTGGGGGGCGTGTTTCAAGACAGGGTTTCTCTTGGCCTCAAGAAAGGTTTCTCTTGTAGCCTTGGCTGAAACTCACTGACTCTGTAGCTCTGTAGACCAGGCTGGCTTTGAACTCACAGAAATCTGCCTGCCTCTGCCTCCTGAGTGCTGGGATTAAAGGCATTTTTAAAATATATTTTTGTTTTTAACTTTATGTGCAATGGTGCTTTGCCTGGGCAAGGGTATCAGATCCCCTGGAACTGACTCCACAGACAGCCATGAACTGCCATGTGGATGCTGGGAATTGAACTTGATTCCTGTGGAAGAACACTCAGTGTTCTCAACCACTGAACCTTTTTTCCAGGCTCCCCCACCTTAATTCTTAATCCCATCACTTTGATAGTGAGATAGCTATCTCTACAGCTACCTCTATCCTTAGCTGCAGTAGCTTTTCTGTGTTAGGAAAGAGGCTAGGAAACCTTAGCAGACTGCAGGGACAAACTCCAAGGGAAAGCCAGAAGTCTAGAGGGCCTCGCTTTTGCCTGACAAAACTCCTAGATATTTTCCTGTGTCAGCCCACCCTGGAGAGCTGAAATGGTGGTCACTTACAGTTCCTGAGTGATCTTGGTTGGACTGAAACCTAGTAAACTAAGATGAGGTGAGAGTTTAAGATCAGAAGTTTGGAGACATTCTTAACGTATCCACATTGCTTTCAAATGCCTACATTAGCCTTTCCTCCAGAGTTTCAGAAGCAGTGAGCACCTTACAGCTTCCCCTTGATTCTCTGTGGCAGATTAGCAGGAAGGTGGCCAGGACAATGTTTCCTAACCCCACTTTGCAGGTAAAAATACTGAAGCCCAGGAAGCAACATTTCATGGTCACACAGAGGTAAACATAGTTGATCCTGAGAGTCCATAAAGGACCCAGCCTTTGTCCAGGATGTTGACTACAGAATTACCTCTGCCTACAGCTAGAGTATGTTTTGATGGAATCAGGGTGCTAGAGTTAACTTTTTGAAGCTACAAACATGGGGAAAATAGTTATTATAATCAAGGTTAATATAGTCAGTGTCTTTAGATGATGGGAGGAGCTGGAAGAGAAAAATGAAACCTTACTGGAAGATGGGGCAAAGCCAGCATGACAGTAACTTAGAGAATGTCATGCCAGCATCTGTGTGTACAATAGTAGTTTGCAGTAGTGTCCCTTAGACAACTTCTGCTGAGTTGATACAGGGGAACTGGCTAGCTTTAGTTGATTACTTCACCTTGCTCTATTTGGATTCCTCATCTGTGAAATAACTTAGCCATTTCCTCACAATAAACCCTACCTCCACTGTAGTTTACATGTTTTCCAGAGTCTGGGCCTTCTCAGACCTCTGCCCCTTTTCACATACTGTTCCATTTCCCTGGAATAACCTGCCCTCGAATGTTGCTGTTCCCTTTCCCCAGAATAACCTGCCCTCGAACATGCTGTTCCCTGTCCTGGAATGCATTTCTTCCTCTGCAACCTCCTTTCTCCTCCCATCTTGGCACCAAGATGTTCAGCACTTCATACAGATAAGAAATATCCTGGCTAGTAGTCATAGTTGCATGATGTTGTAAATATGCTAAAAAAGAACTCACTAGAGTACATGTCGTGTGTGTGTGTGTGTGTGTGTGTGTGTTTGTGTGTGTGTGTGTGTGTGTTTCAGGGGATTGGTCCCAGGCAGATGCTCTACCACTGACAAATGGGATGTGGATTATACCTCAGTTTTTAAGAATTATACGCAGGGCTAAGAAGATGGCTCAGTAGGTAAAGGTGTCTTCTGCCAACACTGACGATCAACCCACTGACATCAAACCACATGGTAGAAGGAGAGAACCAGTTTGTCCTCTGACCACCACCTGCAAGCCACAGCATGGCATGTGCATATGCACACATACATATTAAAACCATCTTTAGTTAT